ACGAGCTCTATCAGGCAAAATGTGATATTTGAAAGTTCAACAGAACCACTTCTCAGTGACGTATTGTGTTCATTTGCAAGGTTCAAGATCTGTTGCTATAGTTTATTGTTCTTTTTACTTTTTGCCAAAGGAGAAGACTTATTTTATTATAATAAGCACAAAGACCTATAATACAATTGTTTTTATATTTTGAAATTTCTAGGAGTTGGTTTAGCTTCTATAGTTTTCAAATCATAATTTTGAAGTTATACACAACTATTCAATGTTTTCAGATTGTTTTTCCCCCACCCTCGGACATAAAATTTTAGGAATGGCTAAATGGTGGTGTAAATTTAAAAGTTATCCCTTCCTACAGTTTTTAATGCACATGTTTCAAACTTACCAATGATTTGAGATGTATAGACCTACAAAATGTTTTTGTAGTGTTTTGATTTTAGAATATTACCAAATTTTCAAAGGAATTTAATTAAGCAACATATGCATATTTTGTTTGCATGACATTATAAAATGATTAATTTATAGATGTACTATAAAGTAAAACATTTGAATGAACATATTGAAGTGATTACTAAATTATACAGAGTCATATACTTCAAAATTATAGTCAAAGGCATATAAATAAGCCATCATTTTACAGAATGAAAGAGGAAGGGTTCAAAAACAGACATAAAGATTACAATAGAAAATGGATGGCTGCCTCTGGATCTCTCAGTAAATAACATGCAATCTGAACTTCCTGAAAGTGATGGTTGTGTTGGCAAAGTAGTTTAAAATATGGATCTATATCATCATAGTTATAAACAAGGTGAAACAGAATCAAGTGGTGTAGTGCTGTATGATGTGTAACCAGATCCAGTAAATTTCCTCAATCATCCTCATGTTCATGATGTACAGGATGAATGAAGCTTGACAGACAATCATGTTCCCCTGTTATCAGATTCTGAGAGTGATGATGACTCAGACATTATAGATGAAGTAGCATCGCTAGAAGGACTGGAAATGTTAGTTAACCAGTATTAAGAGAAGCACAATTTTATGGAGGATTTGTTAAAACTTTTGAGAAAAAAATGGCCACCCTGAATATCCAAACACAGTGAGAACTTTGCTGGAACAAACAAATAGCAGTGCACACAGAAAGTAAGTAGGACATGGAATATATCTACCTTGGACTCCCTGAAAACTGAGAAGAACCATTCTGGCCTATCCATAACACAGCATCAAAAACATCATATTAGAAATTTCTCTCAATATGGATGGTTTGCCTATTCTGTCAGTTAGAAAAAGTCACTTTGTGGCATTGTTAATTGTTTCCCATAACACTAGCTTTTGGAAATTCTAAGCCAAGTAACTTGGATTTCCATGCATGATTTAACAAATTTCTTATGTCATGGTATACAAGTGAATGACAAAACCTTGAAAATAAAATTACAGTGCATAGTTTGTGATGTACCAACTAAAGCAATGGTCAAAGCATCCAAGCAGTTTTCTCGGCAGCATGGTTATAATAAATGTAACCAATGAGGCACAATGATTGGCAGGATGATCTATTGAGAAATTAATGATCTCCAGCTGTGCACTGATGAGTCCTTACAGAATCAAATGGATACTGAGCACCATCATGGTAAGTCACCTTTTTGTGATGCATCTATTGATATGGTGGAAAACTTCTCAGTGGATTATATGCATCAGGTTTGCCTAGGTTGCATGAAAAGACTTGCTCACATGATTGAGAGGAAAAAGAGAAGTATTGTTGTCAGTTGGCCAGGCAGAGAAAATAAGCCAAAGAATGTTATTGCTAAAACTATTTGCTAGGAAGCCAAGAAGTCTATCAGAGATAGATAGGGGAAAAGCCACCAAATATTGACAATTTTTGCTGTACACTGAGAAAATAGTCCTCATAGGAATTCTCCCAAATGCACTATATGAACAATTTTTAACTTAACTTTCAGCATAGCCATAAGTTGGCTCATGAACACAGTAATTATGCACACAAACTTCTGAAATAATTCATTTCTGGGGGCCATGAACTCTATGGCCAAGAATTCCTGGTATATAACGTGCACAGCCTTGTGCATCTAGCAGGTGTACAATTATTTGGTTGTCTTCACAACTTATCAGCCTTCATCTTTGAAAATTATATGCAGAAGCTATAAAAATATGTAAGATCAGGATGAAATCCACTGGTACAAATAGCAAAAGAAATGGAAAAAATCAAAGAGCACCATCTTCAAATTCATACAACAGCAACAACACACTTCCATTAAGAAGATAACAGCAAATACCAGTTAAAGGATACATTGTGCTGTGAGGTTATTGAAAAAAAAAAGAGAGATGAGGAACACACAAAGAAAGTGATAAAATATTTCTCTGCCAAGTGTAGGAAAGAGCTGAAACTCTAACTGAAGATCTTTGTGATTGCCATGGTATTGGACCAATTGCCTTCTGCAAAATAAATCTCATGAATATTCAAATGATGCTTCTCCTTAGCATCACAAGAGCAATGATGGTGAGCATGTGTGATACTGGGTCTACTCCTTGGCATTATTGCATGAATTTTAATTAGTAAGTAATAAGTAGAACTATTCAACTATTCAATAATGTTCAGAACTATTCAACAGAAGCTGTCACAACAAATACTTGTACTAATCTCAAAACTTTAAACATTGATTATTTGTTAAATTAAGACAAATCATCCATACTTAAAATATCTGATAAACTACCCTTTTGGATGCTGATTAATATTATTATGTTAAGACAAAATTTTATTTGCTTCTTGCTCACACTTAAATTATTTAGATGAAAACTTTTGCTGCTGTGAAATTCAAGGAAGAGGGTATGATCAATTTTGTACAAGAAATAACTGCAGAGGTAAGTACCAAAAGGACAGGTGGAGATTGAGATATCTAAGAAATCATTGGTGATAAAAAAAAATTAGCATTTATTGAGTTCTCTTGTTTCACTCTTCACATTAGTTGTAAAAGTTAAATAAAATAGACAGTAAATTAGGTTACCTTCGATATGTATTTTTAACTTTGTAAACAATAAATGTTATTTGGTGAAGCTTTTATGAGGGTTAGTAATATCATGAAAATAATATAAATCAAAAATTACCAAAGTATATATTATAAATCAAGTTATTTATCACTGAAAGGGTCCTTTAATGTGTTTGAACTTACCAACCAACTGTTACATTAAGCTGCAAGATTGGATCAATGGAAGGTTCTGCTTGCTAATTTATTTTTCCTTGCAAATTTTTTTCAGGGCACATTCTATTACTGGCCAGGCAAAAATATACATGACAGAGTGAAATGAGGGGAGCTGCCCGATAAGGTAGGGTGAAGGAAGTTCCATGTGCATGTTCTCAGATATACAGGTAATTGTTTTTACCAATGTTAACTTCCAAAATTTGAAAATTAGAGTTTAGCCTTTACACAAACTCTTGCAAGAGTAACCTGCTTTGACCATGAAGTTCGAATTGAATCAATCAATACCTTGTAAGAGATACTTGAAGAGGCTGGGAAAAATGGAAAGAAGGTGGAAAGAACCTCCAAACTGGAAGCAGAGGAGAGAAAAGAAACCAGAGAAATATATTCATCTGCCAATGATAGTGAAGGTTGGTAAAAAATAACTGGAGGTGTTATGGATGTATAGTTGCCGAGTTTCAGATCATTAATTATACATTTACGTGAAAATTTCATATAAATATAAATCTAACATGACATTTATGAGTTTACAAAATTTACAGTATTATAACTGTAAAATCACAAACAACTTCGAAATTTATTGTTTCCTATTTTGCAGAAGGAGGAATGTTTTTACCCAGACTGGTCATGCTTGTAAAGTTGTTCAAAGTCAGATGACTGTCAAAGGGAGACACTGTTGTCAAGTCATCACATCCTCAAGACTACATCATGCTACTAAAGCCATGACCTAGAGCAGCATTCAGTGGTGCCCCTGTCATGGCCAACATCCCAGGCTCAATGCCAGCATGGTCCATAGTGGTAATCAGAAGTGTCCCACTTGATATCAATAATGAAAAGCTGCAGAAGGAGCTTCACTTACAGGGAATTAAAGCCATTAATATTGAACGAATCCCTTCATTCAAATGAGGTAAGGCGACTCCATTAAAACTGAATCTCATAAAAGCACCAGGAAAAAGCACAACACCTTATCAAGGAAGGCATCACCCTTTGGTTTTCCTGTCAAAGTCAAATCAGCCAAGCAGTCCCCAGCAAGATCAGTTCAACAGTACTTCAACTGACAAAAGTTTGGGCACACTAGAGCATCATGTACTGCAACACCCCAATGTATCCACTGCAGTGGATCTCATACGATTGACCAGTGTCCACAACCTGCTGTTCCAACTGCCAGGGTCCCATGCTGACTCATACAAGGGTTGTCTTAAAATCCTGCATGTTGCTAAGTTGAGATGAAACCATTGATGTACCATTCAGTCAACAAGCAGCACCAATGGTCCATCTGCACCACAACCAACAGCCACCAAAGGATTTAGGATTTATATGGCAAAAGTATTTCTTTAAAAGCATAAAAAAAACTTTTGACCATTTTTTCTGAATAAATCATTAATGCATTCTTTCAGCATTAATTAATGATGCTAAGGAAGAGATGCAAACAGAATCTAATTTGTTTATCTTTCATAAGAAAAACTTATCATTTCAAATACATTCATTCCTACTATATGTAAATCTACCAACAAGTTTTCAACAACATTATTACAAAACCTTGAACATATAATTGCAACATGTAAAAACTTATAATAACAAAACTAATCATTTGCTGTAATGAATCTTTTCTGGTAATCTTATGGAATTACTTCACTTAAACTGTCTTTTCCAGTTTCGAATCACTTAGAAATAAATCTTAATCACTAAAACACTATAGTTCTCACCCTGATAGTCAACTCTCACAACCTTTAACATAACTGACTAAAAGCTAACTGAAAGCAAAGCAAGTTATTATTCTCAAAACACCATAAAGAATTAACAATCAGTGGTATTAGAAGGGTGCTGAAAAGCACTCCTGATAGTAACAATGCTTGCATAGGTTCCAGTAATAAAACCAATAAATCCAAACAGACTAATCACTAAGTTTTTAATGATGATTATAATCCACCATTTCATGCCTACAAAATGAGAAAAACAAAGAAAAAACAATTAGTATAATTACAACATATAATTCTGAGAAAACTAAAAACCTTCACAATAATACAGTTATCTAGAAATTTGTAAGTTGTATATAAGGAAATTATTGGATTTAGAACTACTCGGTGCTTTCAATAGTTTTATATGCTATGAATCATGCAAATTAAGCTTAACAGCAATAGTAATTTAACTTTATTGTACTATATTATACATGGCAGTACAACAAATGTTAGAAAGATTAACATCCTCATAAGCACAAATTAAGTAAGGAAAACAACACAAATTTGCAAAAATACAGTTAATTATCCATGTGTGTCATTTTCAAAAGTACATTGAAACTAGTTGGGTAATTAACTTTATATTTTTGTAAATTTGTGTTGTTTTCCTTACTTAATTTTTGCTTATAAAGCTGTTAATCTTTACAACATTTGTAGGTAGCACAAAATACTGCATAACTTGATAACATTTTTAAAATATGGTATATCATTGTTTAAAGCAACATTAAAAGTTAGATATACAAATCATCACAACTTCAACTTGTCAAAAATCTATCAAGAGATCACTTGTAATTATTCCTTAAAACTTATCTGGAAACGATTTATACTTGAAATTATAATAGGACTATTTTCTAATATGTAAGATGATCGATACATTATGACATAAATTTATGTATGTGTATAATGTTTTGTTGAGAGGTGCCCAATAACAATAGGTAATGATGGTCTCTACTAACTAAGATATGGGAAATTGTTTTGAAAAAAGATAGAAATGAAAATCAATGTAATTCCATGATACAAGCTGTGTACAACATGTTTCGTGAATGTGGGGTATCAAATTCAAACAGAACTAAATACCCATAGCTTCTGAGAACAAAGCAATTGATCATATTAAAGTTAAAATGACATATTCATATATATATATATATATATATTGATGCTTTACTGAATAATACTAGGTTGCATTATTTTAATTTCAACTAAATAGAAAAGGAGCAGAAAACATGAAAAGTGTGAAATATATCGTTCTGGGTTTCAAACCATAAAGTATCAAACTAAAAACTGCACACAATCAACAGTAAATGATGCAGGTAGACTAAATGGAATGTCATATGTGGAGAAAAAAAAACTATTAACCATTCAAGTGTGATATGCAGGCTTATCATAGATATAGCAACATATATAACTATTCAATCACAATTGAGTTTAATTTATCCTACTGTTCTCTGTTAACATTCTACTGCACTGTGTGCCTCTGCTATTATGTAGGGATGATGCAAATGCCATTCCTACTATCTTGTTTGCATTGTTTTTGAAGGATTGATATTAGCCAACCCTATGTTTACTTCCTTTTTTGAGAAGTTTTTTCTTTATGTCTTTAATATAGATTATACTTGTTTGTTGTTTCCAAGCTGACCTGAAGAGCTCTGGATTGAGTTAAATGTGTTGTTGCCAATGAATATGGTGAACATAGTTGGTTGGAGTGCTATTATTATACACTCTTTCAAATCTTGAAAATCCCTAAGGAAGTAGATTATAAATGCAGTATTAAAAATATGATAGACCTAACACTAATGTCTTATGAGAAGTGTAATTAATTATAATCATGCTTTGCCAGCTTGGAAAAAGTATTTATGCCATAACAATTAACTAATTCCTACCAAACATCATTATAGTTGTTATGAGCGTATGGAGAGTTAACTATATAGTAAATTTACTACACTTTATCCTGTACATATTAATTTGATTGTGTTTTTGAGTACAAATAAAGATTGTTTTCACAGTGTGTTTTTACATTGTGTTCATTCTCATTGTTTGTCAAACTCAGTCAGTCAGTGAACTCAGAATTACTTTGTAATAAATATTTTGTTGAAAATATTGTGTTATTAAGCAGACCTATTCCACTAATATATGGTTAACTTAGTTTTACCTGATCATGTATACCACACAATAATCCTTGACAAAGAACCTTAGAAGCTTTCATACTATTTAGAACAGAAAACTATGATTCAGATAATGTCAATACAGTTAAGTTCATAGTAATTTTATTTGATTAATTACACAAAATATACCTCGAAAAGCAAAAAAAAAAAGTTTTCATTTTATTTTATGTTGATTATTGAACATTAACAAGTGAAGGTAGTACAATGAATGTGGTCATGCAAAATTATGCCTCTAACAATGAACAGGAAAGTGTAGAAGGTTTTTACCTTATTTATATCTTTTACTTAAGACACAGCAGAATAAAAAACAACAATAACACAAGATTAAAAACCGAAAGAAAGACAAATAAAAGCCTGATCAATTGAAAAACCAAAACAAATTCAAGGCTGACATTTTTGTATGAATGATTATGTAAGAAGTGAAATATATAAATGAAAAACTCAGCACTTGTTATGGCCTAGCATAAAAAATAACACAATACATTCATGACAGTATTGTTTGTTTGCTTGTTTAGAAAGCTTGAAACAAGCTACACAATTATGGGATATCAGAATATAGCAGTCCCTAATTTTGAACAGAGAGACTACAAAGAAAGGAAGGTAGCTAGTTAACAGTACTCACCACCACCTTCTAGGCTGCTCTTGTTTGACTAAATAGTGGGATTTTGACTGTCACTCTTATGGTGCACCAATAGCCCCAAAATGTAGAGTATGTTTTTGTGGCATGATTCTTCAGATTCAGAGTCAAAACATGTTAACCATTAGGCCACACTCAGTCCCAGCAAAGGGTAAAATATGTGTTTGAAGATAAAGCAAATATATGTCTTTGCATGAAAAACTGATATTTTTGCAGATGACAAAAAAGGTAATGGCAAAAAATAAATAATTATGTATGGAACGATTATTTCTTTAACTCCACAAATTCGAAATATACTTTAAACCAAACGATTAATGACACAAAAATTATGAAAAATTCCTAGTGTATATATTCAATGATGAATTTTAAATCTTGTCATTTGAAGATGTACAAGAAGTCACTAAAAGAAAAGTATTATTGGGATTATAACCAAACCATGGTAACAAATAGGGTACCCCTATGATAAATCAATGCAATAAATTTGGTACATTTTATATATTACAACTGATTTGGATTAGTGTTTCTATTTACAAAATTAACTCTAATTTCAACTTATTTGCCTAATCTTTTAAACATTAAGAACTAATATACAGCTATATTTATCTTTGTTCTGTATATAATATTACTGGTACACTTTGTATGAAGTTCATTGCATTTTAATTTCAACTGGACATCCCAACTTGCTTCTCTTCAAAAGGTAATTAACATTTTTCTTTTAGAAATAGTCAAAAGAACATACAAATGAAATACGGTGTCTTATATATTCCATTAAACATGTGGAAATGTGATTGTCTATAAGGGAAGAACATAGCATTCAGTAGTTACTCCAATGTCAAAAATCACTTCTTCTGTATAAATCGACCTATGCATTTCACTAAAGCAGAAGTTTTGTGAGCAGTATAAACTTATTCATTAATCATGTTTGTACATGTAAGTGGCATGTTATTAAAAAATAAATAGAAAACTATAAACAAGAATAATTGCGTTGAAAGATTTATAAGATCTGGTCAACTAACAATATAATGCCTGATATAAGCATTTAGAAATGAATACTTACTCATACTAGTCATAGAAGAATCCCAGTAAATGATGATATTTAGTAGTGGTGGAATAATTATTGCCAGGCTACTGGTAGCAAGGGCTCCAATCAATGAAATAAACAAATTGAGCTTGGGAATTGCTGCTGCCAAACCAACTGTTATTAAAATGAAAAAGTTTTTTTTTTATCACAGCAATTACAGATATAATTATTGATCAGATTTCACACATAAAAACAAAAAAAATCTATTTTAATCTCTCAAATCTAAGATAGTTTTATTTTTCTTACAGGGTGGTTGCCTTTGGATGTTGTGGAGGCAGTAGATTTAAGTGAGTTTAAGAGAAAGTTTGATAACTATATGAATAATAAGGGTTAACTTTGAGGTCTATTTATTTATCTTATTTTTTTATCTAATAGTTTTTACTTTAGTTTAGAGGATGGGACAGCCTGGGTGGACCGTAGCTACACGAGGATCCTCACCACCCACCGCCAACTTTTGGGCTACTCTTTTGTCAATGAATAGTGAGATTAATTGTCATATTATAATGCTCCCACAGCTGAAAGGGCGAGCATGTTTTGTGGGACAGGGATTCGAACCCGCGACCCTCAGATTGCGATTTTGAGTGCCCTAACCACCTGGCCATGCTGGACCTTTATACACAGCTGGAATAAAACTTCCAAGATTTTTATAGAACTTAATAGCATGCTTACAACATTCAAATTATATTTTTTATAATACTTTTATGAGCAATTCCTAGAAATATAGTGTTCAAGTACACATACATTGTTTCTGATGTTCAATCCATTATAATAAAAGATAATGAAAAATTATTCAATAATAAATATAATGTCATCTACAAAAAAAAAGTTAAAAGTTTAGAGTTTTTCTTTAAACAACTTCTCATCCATGTCCTTACTTTCCACAGCTGAATGAGCTTCTGATAAAAAAAAAAAAAGTAAGCTACTTACACAGATAATGACTCAAATAATTTAAAAAAAGTCACAAATACAGAAATGAAGAAACTACAAATAACTAAAAATACCAAATGTTATGCAAGTAACTTACTGGTTAACGTAAGATGATGCTGACTAAATTTCTAGCCTATGGAAGGTAACTACATTTATGCTATAGGGTTAAAATAAAGATTACAAAATGTAAGTTTATTATCACCTTACATGTTATAACTACAAGTATAGCTCGTAAAACATATTCCAGTAGATTCTCTTGGTTTGGTGAAACTTTCTTGGCTAGTTTCCCCTTTTTCTGGATATAAGGCCAAATAAACTGCAAAGGCACATACAATTGCAGTGCATAAGAGAAGAAAATGGCAACAGTAAACAAGATACGCACCACATCATACAACCTGAAAACAGAATAAACAGCTGAAACAAAAATGCATTATGATCTCCTTACTATCTGTGAAAATCTAATAACCACTAAAAATTAGGTTTCAATTATTGCAATAACTGATTTGGTAAATGCTGAAAATTTTAAAATCATTACATAATGAACATATCTCTTACTCTTTCATAAAATAATAGATTGGTTGAAGTATGATTTGGAGATAAAAAGATATGAAATTTAATTTTTTTGGAGGTATGCATTTTATAATGTATCTGTGATGTTTTAACACTCTGAATAAGGGCTCAGTGGTTTACACTATTCTTGTGATCCTAAAATGACCACTAGTTTCCAAACTATAACTCTTAAGACAAAAAAATCAGAATTTTTAAGGAAGTATTTTCGGTAAAAAATTGTCCATGAATATATGGAGTCAGAGTACTGACTGTTCCTAGTGCAAAGTGATTTTTTATGTTAAGATTAAAAATACTTATCTTTATCTGAAAATTCTGAAAACTGCACCACATCTGAACTAGGTATACAGTTCACCCATGTGGAGCCAAGAGGTGTGGTGTTGCAATAAATAGCAGATCAAGGTAACAATTTCAAATCTCTAAGGAAAAGGAATGTGTGTAGAATGGCTAGGGTGCATCAGACAAGTGGCAGCTGGAGGAACTTGACTGGTCCATTATACGAGGAGGGTCCTCAACCATTCACCTCAGGTCTAGGAACCAGAATAGAAGAGGAGCCTCTGTTTCGAGAACCTAAACCATCATGTGTGCAAATTCAGCACAACCTGCAGCAAAAAACCCCTGGAATGTACATCTGAATGACATCAGGAAGTTGGTGATGTAACATGGAGAGTCAATTCCAATTCAAAAGTGATCAGCATTGGGGATGTAATATCCAATCCATGGTAGGAGGAAGTTTGCAGCCCACTAACATGTAAGGATATATGTTGGTTGGTCCAACTCCAACCAAAACAAGTCACTCAGAAATCAACATCCAAGCAGTTGTAGGAGTGAGGGCTCCCAGTCAGAAGGGCAAACTGTAAAATAGATGGAAAAATCCAATCCAGATCGGCGGCACCTGGAATAAAACATAAGACCTACTTCAGGAGGATAGTCAGGCCTTCAACACAGGTAGAACACTACAGTCCTACTCTCGACTGAGTGGAATTGTGCACACTCAAAAGTATTTCTCTACAATCCACCACCCACCAGCTAGGAGCTGGAAAGTGATAAGGACTCCCATACTCCACTGGAAGAAGGAGGGGAAGAAATGCATTGGAGAGTCAGGAGGAATGCATCACCAGAGAAAATGCAATAGGTGACCACAAAACCCTATTTTGAAAAACAGTACATTCCCAATTCTGGAAATCTATGGAATGTTAGAGATGGACAGCAATCTCTTTCTGCTTTACTCATGTTAATCCATGAGTGTATGGTCTGGTATAAACATCAGTGACACTATATACAGCAAGGAAGAACCTGCACGTGGTCTTGTGGTATATCCCATCTCAACAGTGAGCATGACCTTATAGATCACATGGTGTAGATTTTGGATATCATTATGCCTGTTAGGGACTACTCACCACAGAGAGGGATCCATAACATGTGAAGTAGGCTTGAGAAAAAAAAAAAAAACTTACCCACTCAGAGTTTTACCAAAATATAGAGAATGGCTACAGGGGAAGACAATATCTGGATGAGCAGGAAATCGTCAGATAGTGTAAGTAGCTCGACTCAAAGGTGTGGGAAGTGGTCCACATGCCAGCCTGAATAATCTCCTCTAAAGGACGATGGAAATGAGCAGCCAAGGGCATTGGGATGTGACAGATCTGATGGGATGAAACACAGAACAATTTGCAAGATTTAGGAGAAAGGGAGTGAGAGTCATCGACGGGTGCTGTGCACAACACATAACTCAGTAAAGCACAGACTGGACACAGGAAACAACCCAGATCAGAGCAGGAGGAAATATGGTATAAGGAATGAAGGGAAAAGGGGTGAAGGCTAAATCTTCTTCACAGACAGATGATGTTTTGGGAAGAAGGAACGGTTGGGATATAAAAGGACATATGTTTTGTAGTACAAAATGTGGTGAAAGTAGATGCAAACAAGTCCAACCAGCAACATCCACAAGCCAGAAGTAGAAAGAAATACATCCTCAAAGAAAGTTGATATAAGGAACATGAGGCTAGCAGTTTGAAGGGAGGAAGGGAAGAGGCATGGAAAACATTTAGATTTCATTCCAGCAATTGAGTGGTACGAGGAGGACGATGGAGATGCATAGACCAAAATAAAAGGGAAGTAAATGGAGAGGAAAACACACAAAAAAAACAGGAAAAAACTAAAGGTAGATGACAGGGTCACCATAAACCCGCAATGGACAGAGCAAGATGCCTGGGATGCTACATATGTGAATAGTCCCAAAACACTTGCAAGGGACGAGACACAAGCCACACGTGAAGCTGGAAGGAAAGAATGGAAGGATGAAGCACCCCTGAGTGAGGCTGCCAGGAGAGAGGGAGAAGTAATAGAGGTACTTTCTGGAGAAGAGAAAGAAACCATGGTTGAGCAACCAGAAAGTAGTCACAAGAAGAATTCGACATAGAGTGGATTGGATGAGAAAAATAACTTGGGGTAGAAGACAGATGGGAGGGTATATATAAAAAAAAAGGTCCTTCCAAACCTGGCTGAATGCATCCATGACCAAAACCAAAGATATGGAACTGGGGAACAAGAGAGAGGACGTTTATCATTTAACGAGTGACAAATGCAAACAGTTGGGGGGTATCATTTTGTACCTGATGATGACAAAACCTTGTTGAAATGTTGTACATTTGCTGTTATGTTAAACTTATATTAAAGTTTTTCTTCATTACCCATTCAAGCCATCTCCAACCATTATTAGTCTCAAAGTGGGTTCCTCGTCATCTAATTTGAATTCATCACGGCAATTAATCAAGGTTGTGTAAGTCTAAAAGTTTATCTTTGTTATTCCATGTATAACTTTTTAAGTATGTTCTCTCACCAATCCACTACCATAAACCAATCATACCGTGAAACTATCGTTAAACCACGTAACATGAATATAGTACCTGATGATGACAAAACCTTGTCGAAACATTGAACATTTGCTGTTATGATAAACTTATATTAAAGTTTTTCTCCATTACCCATTCAAGCCATCTCCAACCATTATTAGTCTCAAAGTGGGTTCCTTGTCATTGAATATATAACATAAGTAAGTAAACCCAAAAGGTTGATATGAAGTTCTAACAGAAAGCATAGGATGCCAATGCCAGCCCAAAAAGAAGAGCTCGGAACTGATAAACATGATCTTTATGGACAAAACGTAGATAATGATGTGAAGCTTGAGTAATGGGGATATGAAGATAAGCATCAGACACATTGAATCTCGTAATCCAAAGCCCTGGAAGAAAGGCCTATCTGAGAGACAGGTAGGATTCCATGGTAAACCAAAGCACATTGAGGAAACGAATCAGGTTGGAGAGATTAAAAACAAGATGCTATTATCAAGTCTTCTTGGGATGACAAAAAGTTGGAAATAGAAACCTCTTTGATGGTGCCCTTGATGAGAAGGTCTTGAACCACTTCTGTGAGATACTGGCAGAAAATGGGATAAATAATTTTTATCTAATTAAATAATACACCTAAGAACAAAGAATAACATGCATAAAGCAAACAATATTCTGTAATTATCATAATTTTTCTAGCTTTTTAACTATATGATAAGAGCCTTTAAAAATTTTGGTAAGTTTGCTGATGTGACACCCATGAGAAACACTTTCAAGGGGAAGCAAAGTAGACAATTCTCTGTACAGGAAATAATGTAATATAATATGTCATTTGACAGATTTAAACTTTGGTTGGTTTTCTATTGGTTATAAATAATATAGTATAAGATGTCAGAGAGAGAGCTGTTTGCAATAGAAAGTGGGTCTGATTTTCTAGTTTGTGGCTCAGTAAACAAATAAGATTGAAAGCTATAAAAAGTATGCTTTGCCTGAGTAATATCTGTATCATAGCAATTAATTTACATTAAATTCCATACTTCTCGGAGGGGTGGTAAATAAGTAAGAGAAGAAGGATGACCTAGAAAGCAAAAGTCACAATTCTCATACTAAAGGAAATATAGGCTTTTACAAAAATATTTTTTTACAATTAAGAGCTTAAACTTATATAACATTAACATTTGGTTTATTAACTACATTTTGATGCCAAACTTATTTATATATAAAGATGATAAAGCAATTTAATTAAATGTTGAATATAACTCTCTAAACATCATGACATGCACATTTTGATCTTCCCTTAGTGAGAGGGTTAAAGGCAATCTACAGTTAAGTCTTTCAAATCCTTCACTCACAATAAGAATCATAAATTTTAATTTCCTTTGTTGTATTGTGAACTTTTACAACTACTTGATATTGTCTAGTTTGTTACATTAGTCATACAGTTATAGGTAAAAAGTGAATAAAGTTTTATAGCTAACTTTATTCTGTGTAATCTTTAACCTTCTCCCCAGCCACGTAATTATTCATGTATTTTTTTAATCATCTTGCTACAGACTGATCAATGAGTGCATGTCATTATGTTTTAGTTATTTTCAAAATGTAATTAAACAACCTTATTATCAATGTGTGTCAATAAAATTCGTATTAAATATAGTTTATAATTCAAATTGTAGAATTATACGTGTTTTAATCATGTTTGGCATGTTTCTACTTCAGCTGCTAACAGTAAAATAAACATAAGAAATAGATGTGAAAAGATTAAAAGTAGAAACTTCCAGGAAAAGTAATTTGGAACTTCATGATTAAAATAAAAAGGATAGAACAGTACTATTTATTTCATTCCATTTTTTTTTCATTATGCTTTGATGATTTGTCAAAATCAAGCATGCCATTAGAGTAGAGAAAAAACAGATAAAATATAAAGCTTTTCTCAAAAAAAAAGTTTAATATTCATTAAGGAGGTCTTAGAGATTATGTAAATGAAATTTGAAAATTTTCAAGTAAACAAAGCATTTTTAATCTTAACAAGAAAATCACTTTCCACTCAGAGTAGTCACCAAACTGACTCCATATGTTCACAGGCAAATGTTTAGTAAAAATACACAATAAAAAAATCGGATATGTTCAAAGTTATAGTATGGAAAGTCTGATGGTCACTTTGGGGTCACAAGGTCAGTGTAATCCATCAAGAAGGTTAACTGAAAACTTGTGATTAAATTTATGTTACTTTAAAATATATGTTTGGTAAAACTTCAAATTTACAACATGAAAATGTTTATTGTTATGTACCTGATGCACAAAACTATACATTATAGCTCTTCAACAAAGAAAATAAAATGAATCATATCCATAAGGCAGGTAAACTAAGTATCAAATACACTATAGGAAGGGTAAAATGTACCTTAGTACTAAGAGGTGTCTGCAGATGCACAACTTACATAGCAGCACAGATACATTATCTAAAGTAGATTTAATATGTTTTTTAAAAGTCTCGCATGTAAATACTGATTAAATCTGATAAGACAGTCAACCCTATAGATACTTCTTTTAGTGGCACACATTTTACCCTTCCTACAGTATAATCTGTACCCTAGATTTATATTTTCTTTTTTTATGTGGAACACTTTTATGTTTTTGCATGTTTTCTGACTAGTTGTATCAAAATATCATTAAAAGTAAGGAGATGTTGTTTTTAAGTTTCTTTCCCTTAGATGCAACAATTAACATAACTGTTGTGTAATCTTTATAACTTCAAGTTCTTGTGCTGTACTGTGAACTATTGCACCCTTTTATTGTGTATATACAACATAAAATCACACAGGGTGAATTAAAAGTCCTGATTTTCCATATTGTTGTGAAGTAGGTGTGGGCTATCAAAAATTTGCTAACATAAGATGTTTAATCATATTATTGATCATTTGTTACCTGATATGGTGCCATGATACAAAGGTTAAATGAAGGTCAATCAGACTATCTCTGAAACTATTAGTCTGAAATAAAATGTGTCAATACAAAGATTGAGGCAGACAATAATATTACCTCATAAATTTTGTTTTCCTTATCAGTTTCACAATGATTTGCATAATTCTTTTCATAAAAAATATTTTACTTTAATACATGGGGAGTTATAAAATCATGCAAATTTATGAAAAAAAACAGACATAACATTTGAACGATGTTGATCTGACTTTTATATCAAGACGTAATATATCTAAACACCCTATGACAGCAGACTTTCAATATTCCACACACGCACTTCACAACAATGGGGAAAAATCAGGATTTCTGACTCATCCTGTATATTGACGAATATATAAAGCCTACTTAGAATTGTATGTTTTGGGTAGAGAGAGATCTTGGAAGCATTAACAAATTTTATCACTTACGGTTTTATTGGAAGAGACAGTGTTATACTTCCTTTAACAGAGCTGCCAAATTTCAAGAAACCAAAGAATCCCATAGCAGTACAAATACATAAAACAATTATCATCCCAGTGTTTAATACTCCAGTCCAACCTTCAATCTCTTTTGGTGTTTTCATTTCATTTTCTAATGGAAGTACCTATGTAATAGCAGTAGAATATTTTTCATATCACATTGAATCTATTGAAATACGTAACTGTACCCTGTAATAAAACAAGCAAGTTTACATGCAAAACAAAACTATTCAATTTTCAAATATAATAGATTCCATTATTTTCTAATTTCTCATGTAGGTTTCAAATCTACTGTATTTTACAATTCAGTAATTCCTAAATGAATAATTTTTTGCCATTGTAATTCATATGTAAAGTGTACACAGTACACACGCAATAACAGCATACTGTTATGTCTCTGTTCGTTAATTGATTTTCCGTAACTTCGTTCCGACGAAACTTTAGCGACACAAGTCCTTACTTAATAAAACTGGTTTATTCTTCCTGAATATAACTTTACCGATACACTTATTTTCAACAGTCGCTCTTTTACAAACATTTTAACAACGAACGTTAACTTCAACAATACTTCCTGACTGCAGTTCAATTACTCACTACCTACACACATTGTTGTCACGTTGTGAGCGTCTTATTTATATACCAGACAAACATATATCTAGTAAATGCTAGGGCATTCACGAAGGAACAAGATAGTTCTAGAAACATGGCGTGACACTAGTCACGTGACCTCGCTGACGCAACAATACAAAGAAATAATCACATTTTTCAATATCAAAAGAAGAGTTGTCTTTATGCATCAAAAAGCCATATTTGACAAATAATGCAGTGCAACAGACAGATGTTTTGTTGATTTTAAAAATCATGACTGAATAACAAAATATAGAGTACATTTAATGGTAATAAACATGTTTTGCATCTTATTTCAAAAGTATGTTATGTGCAGTAGCTTAAGTGGATTTTTTACAAATATGATGGTTGTTTTACACAGAATAACTTCAAAAAAAGTATGCAATGAAACTGGTTATTAGAGTGTAGTAATATTTTTATAAACTACTACATATGCAGTATCTAAAACAGACTTCAAAAGTTATTGTTTGGTAATAAACTTCTTCAGAGTTCAATCTTATGGTGTAAATTTACATTTTCTTAATAGCAAATATGTACCTTGAATCCATAAATATCAAAATATACAAACTGCACTAATACATACTTGAACTTGATGCATTAACACAGTAATTAGTTATGTTAGACTTAAAATTATTACAAAAACTTCAAGTGATTGATTATCTCTGCAAATCAGTATCAAAATAATGTGAATGATATGCCATAGCATACAGGTATCTAAATATGGCAATTTCAGGGTAAATCAAATTATTATTTTATAAACCTAATGAGTGACAAATTAGAATACATTTAAAATCTTAATAGTTCATAAACACATACATGATTCAAGTATATTTCATAATTTAAACTTTTTGTTGTTTTTTAAATTAAAATGTGACACTTACAATGTTTATTGCTTCAAAGGAAAAGATGACAGTCCCAAAGTACAGAGGAAATGTTGAAAATGACATTGTCAAAGGCCTTGATGAGGTAGGAGGTAAATCTTGAAACAAGTGGTAGAAAATAATACATATTCCCAGACTCTGCAAAATATTAGCAAATGTGGAAGCTATAGCTAATTTGCGCAGACTTCTGATGAAGTTGAACAGTATCATAAATGGCAGGATAATTGTAAGATATCCATAAATACTGATGGAATCGACATTATAATAGCTGCAGACCACCTAGATAACATAAAAAGCATCCATTAGACATTTTATGAATTGATTATTCAAGATACTTTCCTAAATATGTAAAAGGATTAAGGTAACAATTAACAGAAATTATGCTTATATGTAATAATACAGTAAAGCATACAAGAGAGTTGAAGAGAACTAAAGTAAGAAACACTGGTAGTTTTAACTTTTATGGAATTAGATTTTCTTTATATATGGTTATTCTTTCACAAGGAGTTTTTTTTCCAATAAATAAAACATTTTTCTTTAAAACTTGATAAGGCACAAAATCTGTAATAGCTTTAACGATTTTTATAACTGTACATATATTGTGCTTAAAATTGAAGTTTTTTTATATATCTAAAGATTTCCAAGCTTGTACGAGTTTGACAATAAACACATTCATACTGTATTAAAAGCTACTGGCATATTTATGAATAATAACCTTAAAATATTAATTTCAACACAATTTCTTGATCAGTTTTAATAGTACAGAGCTTAGTGAAAATGTTAAAAAAAGGAGAAATGCTTTATGTATATTTGAGTGAGTTACTTATGTCCATTTACAAGTACAATCAGTTTGGTAATTAACTTTGTGTTAAAGATAAAGACAAAATATTTTGTAAATACATATTTTAAGGCTGGGAGGTAAACACAATTTAATATTTATTTATAACCCGTAAGACTTTGTTTCTGAGATTTTAAAAATCTTTTCAGTGCATGATAAATCACTGATAAAAAGCAAATAACACTAAACAAAAGTTAAAAGTGGTATTCTGATTTTGTAATCTGACTATATTGATGATCCATTATGTGCATGTCTATGTATGTTAGCATCCATCACATATAGTTGGCTGACTCAGTTATTATAATTTTTTTGTATAGTAACTGGAAACTGTTCAATGTTGTACATGATCTATCTTGTTTTAGAAGTTTGGGCTGAAAAGGGGAATAAATAAAAACCCTAACATAGCACGCATTTCATTTTTGCCCAAGAAAAGGGATAAAAGGCTTTTTGCTTTGAATTTAAAGACACAAGTACTTAATCATTACCTTCCACAAAGCAGGGTATGCAATTAGCATCTAATGAAGTAATAAGAGATTTAATAAAAGAAAGAAAGCAGGCAAACATTACCTAACATTGTCCTTCATGCAATTTTTACTTCCTTAATGAGTAACTTCAGCTAATTAGATTAATAAATTGATACATGAAAAAAAATTTTAACATATTATAAGAACTTATATTGTTTGCTGAAGAATATGCATATAATGTTCAGATGTATGAAGGTATAGGTATATTTTGTACAATATTGAATATAGACAAAAACGATTTGACACAGAAATTGTAATACATTATTTCATAAAATAGTTCTCTTTACATGTTTAATCATATTCTGTTTCATTGGAATTATGCAGTTGTATGTTAAATAAAATTAACAAACAAAAATATTTTTAGCATGTCATGTTACTGACCTTCTGGATGTTAGTTGCCACAAAAAGGTAATAAACACAACAAATTCCAAATTGAGACAACAAAAGAAACACATTTATAACTTTTCTGAAACAAAGAATGAAAACATTTTAATCTTATATTAAAACAAGCAAATAAATTTTCCATGTATAGATTTAACTCTTAACTACTACAGTGACCATTGCCTTCTTATTTTTACTTTGGAAGTCTAATACCATTCCTTTTATACACAATAATTCAATACAATTTTCATTTTTTCTAACCATACTCACTTTTTTGTGAATTTACATAAGTTTAAGAAAATTCTTGCGTATGTAAATATTCTAATAGCAAATGTTAATATTAGGTTACAGGTACTTGCAATTCTTCCATAAAACAATATATATTAAACACAGAAACAATTAAACAACACTTATGTATCACATTGTACATAATCCTAGTGTCACAAAAGAAAATTGTTAAAATTCACTTGCTGTCTAATTTTTCTTTCTTTTACGTTGAAGTAGAATATTATTAGGTATTCAAGTTATTTTTACCTCCACCACTGAAGATGGACAGAGGTTATGCTTTCCCCCCTGTGTGTGTTTGTGTATTTGTGAGTAAGATTTTTCAGAAATGGTTGAATGGATTTGGACAAAAGTTGGTATACATTTGGACTATGACCCAGCTTAGAAGTGATTAGTTTTTATAGGGTCAAGGTCACAAAAATACAAAAAAAACCTATCTGTTAACATGAGGACTGATTTTTCAAACTATTTTTGCTCTATAAATTGAGAGTCAAATATAATCAATGCTGCATGATAGAGGTATGAGCACAACTGAGTGCCCCTCTAATTACAAACATGTTTCCAGCACCTTAACATTCATTAAAATACAATTAGTGAATATTCTGTCAGAGATATAATTGTTCTTCTCTTTTCTGTTTCCCCACAACAACTAGCATTTAAATGGTTTTTTTTTCTTTTGTTTGACAGCCTTTTGCTTGTTTTGACTAAAGCACCTAAATAGGAGGTCCAATCTCAAATTGCATTCAACTTTGAACAAACTTACTAAATAATACATAGTTTCAGTTTAGAAAAAAAAACAAAAAACTTGTATAACTGAATTTAGTATTTCTAATATTTTGAGGTTGTGAAATTGCCAAAATGTTATTGTGAGACTCACTGAGACTACAGTTTACATCTTAAAGGTCACAGATCTACAAGGTAGTTCACTGAGTGTGATTTTAATATTTTTTTATTTGATGCAAAGTGCATAAAAGTTTATTTTAATTTCTGTAATCCTAGCTGACCTGTCTGCATTCAAACACATTTTTACCAATGTGGTATATCTTGATTAAACTTTATTAAAAATTAATAGAAAGTTGTCTGTACTCAGGTTTAATTGCTTACATTCAGATACTGAATGATATTCTACCCTTCTCATTGACTGATGGTAATGCAGTCAGATACACATAGAAAATGAATCTAATTCAAATAGTCATAAGGTAAGATAACAGTTTTAATAACAAAGTTATTCATGCAAATGCTTAAAGTTTTACCAATAGCCTTGTTAAATTACATTAAAATAAAGACAGTCTAATTACTTGTGATTAAAATAACATAGAACATAAATAGATATCTAAAATCGTAGATGGGATCCCATGATTTAAACTACAGAAATTCCAGGATTCAGAAAAGTTTTTGGATTGTAACCCCTACATCTAAGGCTTAGTCTTTTTTCTGTTGCTCTTATGTATATTTTTTTAATCATGTTAAGTACAAAGTTGAGGTATTTTAATCTTTGTATAATTTTTCTTATATCTCAAATATCTTTGAAAGAAATAACCTCAGAAAATAGTTTCTAATTTTGGGAAAGTACCAGTTTTACTTGAATATACCTTTGTGATATTTTCCTCTCTTATAGTCTTAAGCTACAACACTTGCTTCATACCAAAACTTGGATCTTTTCTCTCCTTTTTATATTTTCTTTCTCTCTGTCTACCCTTCCCATTACATTTTGCACTCTTGGTTCCACACACAAGCAGTCAGTGAGTAAAGAAGTGTTGTGTGGTTAGGGGTGCGATAAGCTCATACAGTGTGAATCTCACTTCAACTCAACTGGACAGACAGAGACAGGGATGATGAACCCATACTGCTGCAGGAGGAAAGTACACTAACTGTTTGAGGGGTGATCTGCACAACACAGACAATGCCACCACTGCCCCACTTATCATCACACTGTGCTGCATAGAATCAATGGAGGAACTCTCCAAAGTTTACAAATTGGTAAATGACAAAGGTCTCTTATGCTCCACTTCAAGAGGAGAGGGGGGAGAGAATTTGCACTGGACAGACCTGGAGAAGTGCCCAGACCTCCATCAGATGCCTGCCACAAAGGTATTTTACTGCATACAGTGCAATGGGTGAACACAAAATCCTATTTTTAAAAGTCACTTTCCTGGTGCTGCCTTTTTTCATGATAGTTCATGAAATGGTAAGGTCTGGATCAGACAATTGAGTAATTTAATTAGGAGGATACCTCTACTGGTCTTGCAGAATACCCCATCTCACTACTGGGCAGTGGTAGAGCCAGGTGGATGCGATGAGTGGTTTCCATTAGCTTTGGCCCGATGCAGCTTTTGGGAAATAAGCATACCCTTGGAGGCAGCCACCTGCTAGGATCTTATAAAAGGGAAAAGAGTAATAAAATAGAAAATGTACTTAACTTTCTCAAAGACAGTATGTAGTTTTAATGAAAAACCAAAACTGGAGATAATCAAAAACCCACAGGAGACGAAACAGCCAGATGATGTAAATAGTGGGAGACAAATGTGTGTGGATTTATCCACAAGCCAGTGTGAAGGATCTCACCCAAGGACCAAGGGTCAGTGAAAATGAAATTTAAGTGAGTGAGACAGTTGACAAACTTGGTGTGATGAAATGTGAAAGAATTAGCAGCTGAAGTTTTAGGAAGAAAGGCTCAGTCTTGGTAGAGAAGGAAGTATGATGAAAAAGAATGCAGGAAGCATTAATGCTATATACATCTGAGCATTGGAAACCACAGGTAAGAAGGAGAAGAAAATATGTCTTTAGAGAAACATGATATGATATAATAAACTTGAAGCCAATGTTTTGAATGGAGTACGTGTAAGAGAGTGTAAATCTATATCAAAGTCCCAGTCAGGCATGAGAGTAGAACAAAGGGGTTGGTGAAGAAGGAACGATTGGAACAAAGTGGAAAGGACAGGAGAAGAAAAAACTGACAGTAATGGTTTGTTTGTTATGAATTTCACACACAACTACACGAGTGCTAACTGCATTAGGCATCTCTAATTTAGCAGTGAAAGACTAGAGGGAAGGCAGCTAGTCATCACCACCTACTGCCAACTCTTGGGCTACTCTTTTACCAACGAATATTGACTGTCACATTATAGCACCCCCACGGCTGAAAGGGTGAGCATGTTTGGTGAGATGGGGATTCAAACCCACGACTCTCAGATTGCGAATCGAGCGCCCTAACTACCTGACCAATTATAAAAGAGTCAAAGTATCATTCTAAGGTGAAATACCAGAAATTTCTATAGCATTATGATTCTAATGCTTTTATGTTCTATAAGAACGTTGTTTTAATGCGTTTTTTGTGTGTTTAATTCTATAATGACATCATTTCAATACTTTACTTATATTTGCAAACCCCTCCCACGCTCTTAATAAAGGGAAATGAAACTATAAGTAAAAAACAAACATTTCTTCATGATTATGCTGTACATGCATGATCACTGAATCATTCGTTGTCGAAGCATGTGTATCATAAAAGTCATTATAAAATGTCCCATGAAATACAACAAAATTAGTATCTTTTTTGGGAAGTAAGCTATGGCCCACTCTCTACATAGAGTATTGGAAATAATTATAGTAACGGTCAGGAAGAAGCATATAAGAGGCAAATACTAAGGAATTGGCACATGTATATAGTGTTACAATTAATTGCACCAAGTGTTGATTACTTACAATGTGACTGATTGACATTCAACCAATCAGAAAATTCTACAGCAGTATACAGCCTATAAAGAAGATGAAGGCAGTCATAGAATGCTCAGTAGTAGTAGTAGTAGATTGACAATCACATGATAATGCCCTCATGGCTGAAATTGTGAGCATGTTTGGTGGGCCGGGGATTCGAACCTGCGAACCCACAGATTGTGAGTTGAGCGCCCTAGTCAACAATAATGGTAAAGGTGAAATATTGTTGATAAAGCTGCCCAATAACCAGCAATAGTGGAAACAGACCATCCATGGTTGAACAACTATATAGATTCATAAATTTTGAAGGGACAAAAAAGATCTTATTAGCCCATCAAGGATGTCCCTTCCAGCTCATAACTGTAACCACCCCTTACTATATATATATGCATCCAATCTTTTCTTGAACTCAGTTAAATTTTCTGCCTCCACCACCCTTGAAGGCAGCTCATTATAAAAGCCAACCACCCTGTTTCAAAATGAATAGTCTGAACTGCAGATGACTCTTACACTGCCAAAATATGTATTTGTGACCCCCTTGTCCTATTGTTTTCACTGCTAATCACATGGACCTATAATATCAATACTCTTAGTAATCTTAAACACCTCAATCAAATCCCCTCTGACCCTTCTCCTCTCCAGAGAAAACGAGTTTAGAAATTTTAGTCTCTCCTCATAGGACAATCCCATCATCCCAGGTATCATCCTAGTGGCTCTTCTTTGAACCCCCTCGAACAATTCAATGTCTTTCTTGAGGAAGGGAGCCCAAAACTTTACACAGTACTCCAAATGAGGTCTTCCAAGTGATCTATACAGTGAAACAATAATATCCCTAGTCTTTCATTCAATATTTCTATAGATGCTACCCAAAATCCTATTAGCTCTATTGCTACTTACAATACTCTGTTTAGATGACTTAAGTGATATTTTTCGATCACAACAGCAAGATCTTTTTCTTCAACAACAGTATTTAATGTATTACCATTTAAACTGGAACAATAATTTTAATTGTGAAAACCTGCATGCATCACTTTATATTTTGGATAGTTAAACATCATCTGCCACGTATCATCCCAATGCATCAAATGGTGAGGACAGAGATCATAGAGAAAGCATCTGCAGAGAACAAATATGTACCACGAGAAGTGGTATCAAAGTGGGGAGCACCGCACTACATCCAGAACAGGTATGCTCTTCATCCAGAACTACAAAATATTGAAAGGGTGGAATATAATACAAGTATGATGGTCCAGCCCTGACCAAACAGCTGAGGTTCCAAAACTTGGGTTGGATTTAAGGGGTCATGGTACCCATATCCCACGTTGGTGGCCAGGGCAGTTGGATCACAGATACATACATATATCTTTGTGATAGGATTCCTACCAGTAATCACAGAATGATGCATTTCAAATAACTGGATTTATGAAAGAAAGAAAGCAACACCAAAGTGGACAATCCTTCTGATCAACCTGAAGAAGTCCAAAAGGCAACATCTCAGGTCTGAATTGACAGGATCATATTCCACACTCCCCCGAAGTCCAGATCTCATCCAGTCTGGATTTACAAACAGTTGTCTTTACTCCCCCACCAAGAAGGCAAGGAGAACTCCACTTACCCATGGAATTACCCACAAAAGATCAAACATGGGACTGCATCGCGTTTGTATGTACGAGGAGATAGTGGATCCCCTGCATGAACAACATAAGACCTGACAGTGTTCATAAGAAGGTCCAAGCCCCCCCCCCCCACTGGATAGCTAAGTGTCAAATC